TCTCTTAGCAACATGGTCCTGTTAGCAGCTTGGCACCATTAGCATGGTCCTGTTAGCAGCTTAGTACAGTTAGCAGTGAAGTTCTTTTAGCAGCAAGGTCCTCTTAGCAGTGTGGTCTTGTCAGTGGCATGGTCTTGTTAGCAGCATGATGATAATGACCGTGGCAATGAATGATGATTGCCCTCCAGAACTGGGTCCAACAGACACAAAACATCCAAAGTTTCCCCGTGGAACCGAACTGATCCGTAGAGTTCAGTCCGTGCAGGCAGATGGAGGATCATGGAGACGGCCGCCATGACAGGCCAGAGCCTGAGCCCGAGGCTGGAAGGGGATCGGCAACTGAACCACGATGGCAAGGCAGCGACACAGAAAATTCCAAAAGTGTGTCGTAGTCATACCTGTAGCGTGGGTGTGCAGTGTAGCTGCAAAAAGTTAAAACAAAAACAACAGCAACAAAACAAGAGCGAGTCAAAGCGAAGCTCCCATCAGTGCTGCCGTACTGTAACACACGACGTCACTTGGTGTGGCGTTTTCAAAAGACCAATGTGAGGACCATTTAACTTACCAAATATGACGTACATGACAATGCAACACATTTTAACTTTTTATTGTTGCTTTCAATTTATTATTATATCCAGTCAGTAAAGCTACAGTCTGTCTCGTCACAGTACTCCTTCCAATCCAGACATCTGCCATCATCAAAACACGTTTTCTGTTAGGCAAATGAAAAACCATGAAAACGTAGGTGATTTGGACGGTTGCTATTTTCCTGGATGGAGACGGCTAACAGCGTTACTCCCGTCTTTCTAATGAAAATCTTAACATGTCATTTAGAAATACGGCGGAGGACGTGAAACGCCCCAATTCCATCCTCGTTTTCCTGACTCATACCTCGTTTCTCCTCCATATGCTCCCATCTGCGAGATGCTTTGCCGCACCTCCCGTCATGACCGTGCACGCGCTCGCACGCGCCTCCTTCACTCTCGAGCCTCCAGCTGCAGCCCCAGCCGGCTCCGCACAAAGGCAGGCCAAATGTATGCTAATGAGAGCCAGGCCAATGGTGGAGCCGCACTCATTTTGAGAGGAAATGGCTTTCAATAATGGTGGCCCCCGGGGGGATTTTGCACAAAGTTCAGCTCCACTTTGAAAAATGCATTCAATTCTCTGCTGTGTCTGCTTCCCTCCACCACCACCACCACCACCCGCTCTCCATACTAAAAAAATAAATAAAAAAAATACCGGAATATACTTGTCCTCCTTTTTCTTTTCTTTTCTGCCTGCGAGACTTTCGGGGACCGGAGAGACGCGATTTATCTTCGGAGGAAACATCAGAAACACAAACATCTGAATCTGAGGGGTGTTCGAACTCCGCTCGGCTCTTCTCCTCCTCCTTTTGTTGCTCTTTGCCGTTTCCGCTGAGGCAAATGTCCTCAGATGCACGTTAATTATACAACACGCGTTTCAAGAAGTGCATAATAAATGCGTCTAAAAATACTTCAAAAGGAAGATAAACAAAAACAAAGACAATTTATTCAAGCAGCGAACATTATCTGAACCTTACTCATTATCTGCAAATCTAATCAGGTGCGATCGGATGGCTGCCGACGTAATATTCCCACGACTGATTCATCTGCGGAGTTGTTTTTAATCTTTGAGATCATTTTAGAAAGGAGGGAAAGGCCAAGCACATTATACATCCATCAACAAACTATTAGTAACATATAGCAATGATCCAGACAAAGCAAAATATTTTATTAATTATTAAAATTAGCAAGACCTTGTTGTAACGCTGACCTTGATTTGTGACCTTTACCTTGGAGCTGGGGTAATGGGGTATGTGACATGCTCCATTGGTGGTACAAATGTGTATGAAGTTATGTTAAATTCTCTCAAGTGGATCAGAAGTTATGGTTTGGACAAGCAAAGGTCTTGAATAACATTTGACCTTGATTTGTGACCTTGACCTTGGAGTTATGAAGAGAGTATATGGCATGCTCCAGTGTTGGTACAGATGTATATGAAGTTTTATGAAATTATCTCGAGTGGATAAGAAGTTACAGTCTGGACAAGCGAAGACATTATATGATGTTTGACCTTGATTTGTGACCTTCAAGCTGTGGTCAAGTTATGAGTTGGACAACAGAAAGTATACAAATAGAGATGATACCATATATCGTCCGCCTTCGAAGCGCGTATAAAGCCTTACTGGCTTATACTGATATTTCATATGTAAAATAGGATTTTGTGGGAAAAATTAGAATAATAATATCTTACCTGTTATAGATAGATTTTTGTCGACCTTGAATTGGAGAAACGAGTCAGAGCGGCACCAAGGTTCATGCCAATGCTACTTTACTAATCTTCACGTTGCTCTCAATATCACTTTACACTATTATTCTGTCAGAAATAGGATGAAATTCCTGCAGGAAGTGCTTCAGCTAGCTGCTACTGCTATGATTTACAAAAAAACTACAAATTTTGGGTCAATAACAGTAGAGAGCAAAGCTAAAAGAGGCGTTTATAAAAGTATAAACGCTACTGGTAGTTTTAAGATGGTAGTTCACTTGGATCTTCGCCCAGCTCCGACTAGCCATTGGCTCATTAATTCATGCCCAGTTAAAGTCAGTTTTGTCAAACTGTCGTCGTTCAAAGAGCTATCTACAACAGGTAAGACGTTGTTTACAACCTTTCTGTAGAACCTCACTTCAAAAAACCTAAACTGCTGCCTTATCCTCCTTCATCCTCGGCCTTCCCTGGAACCAGAGCCTCCGTCTGAGCTCCCTGGTGCCTGTCATATCACGAGGGGCAATAACCCGTGAAATAACTGTTCTCTTTCCCTGCTCTCCTCCTCTCCGTCCTGGCACCGCCCATCCTCTCGCCACTCCACGCTCCACATAGCAGTTGGGTCGTGAAGATGCTCGGCGTGTGCACACTTACACGGGAAATACATATTTTGTTGGGGTTGGACGGATGCACGTGCGCCGTGCACTACGGCAGGAGAACGGTGGAGCCCTAAGTGGAGGTTCTGCATCCTCTTTGAGAGCACAGCTGAAAGAGAGCCTCCTGCCTCTCCAGAGAGCCGATCAGTCCAATTCCTGGGATGAGTAGACGCTCCCAAGGCAAACACTCCAGATTTAATTATAAGCTCCAAAGAGGATTAGCCTGCACTACTTGTGTGTCTGTGCACCGGCAGGAGTAGTGGGGGGACACAAAGGGAAGTCATCCCTTCATTTCTAGCACCAAAGGATAAAACACACAGACAGAGGAAGTGATCTCACCTGGGTGGCGCGGTGTAATCCACGTCTTTCTCTTCGTGCCGGTGTCTCGATCGGGACTCGGCTCCTCTGGGCGCCGCCTGAAAGCAAACACGAGGAAGGCAAAGTCAGACTTTTAAAGCTGAGACGACCGCATGTACAAACCGTGGAAAATTGGAATGCCCTGAACCCGCAACTGCCTCACTGGAAGTCATTTAAGAAGAGAGTAAATAAAAAATGTGTTAATGGATATGTATTCAAACACGGCGGCCTTAGGCTGCATGTTTAACCTCAGTAATATTTCAGCAGTCTACTGATAATGTTACCCAGCGAATGCATATTTACAGCGCGCATGTTCTCATGTGCAGCCTTGAGGTCTTTACTGGAATAAACAGAACGGAAAGGGATTGCACGTGCTGCCTCATGCACACCAGGAAGTGATTAAATCTGTGCACTGTCTTAGCTGGGTAAACCTAGCTCAGCTGGGTATCATGGCTGATCAGTTAACCTTTCCTGACCGTGTTGCACCTGTCTGCTGGTTGGACCAGTGCAAGCATCGCAACGCTCCCAACGCTTGGACTTTAAGGTCTGTTCCCAGGTAGGACTGTCGCGATAAACAATAAATCAGTTAATCGCATGATAAGTGAAAATGATCAACCTCATTTTTATCGGCTCTATCGTATCTTCATGTCTCTCTCTTTCTACTGAAGACACTGGATGACAAAAGACTCGACTCCGGTGCTCTTCAATGACCCCTCCATTTCTCTTTAAAATCTGTTTTAACCGTCCAAAATCACATTTTGGATCGTTAAAAGCAGCTAAGCTGAGAAGCTAAGCTACGAGATAAGCTAGCAGGCTGACCTCGGGGGGGGGGACCTTTGTTTTGTGGAAGCTCCAAAATTCACGGTTGAAACCCGTGCCTTCGTGTAAAAAGTTGATTTTTTTCTGAAAAAAGAAACTGAGAACTTGTTTACTGATTTTTCATTAAAAGCCTTGTGTGAAAAATGCTACGCTAAAGAGCTCAAACCACAACGAGCGTCCGCCATTTGAAGAACCGAAAAATAGGAAGGAGAGACAGCCCATGCCACGTTAAGGGGCCTCCCTCCCATTTTTCTTAGAGACACGCTGCTCGCTCCCTCACTATCCATCCTTCGCTTCAAACAGTCTTATACTGCCATCCAGTGGTCAAAAAAGGTAAAACACACAAAAATTAACCAACATTTCTTCTTAAATTTGACGATAATTACTAATTATTGTCAAATTTCAAACAATATTATCGTTTATCGCAATAATTTCCGAGACAATAAATTTGTTATCATGACAGGCAGAGTCCCAGGTACTTAAACCCAACCATACCAGTAGAAGTTCTTATTCGACCGCTGTGCATTTCATCTGGTCTAACTCTTCGTGTGTACAAGGCAGAACTGTTCATTTGTACTTTTAAACATCAACTAAAGGATTGTCTTTTCACAGAATGTCTCCTCTCACAAGACCTTAAATGCTTTACACCAAAGTTCATGCTCATTAAACCAGGTATAAAATCCAACAATGTTCAGTCAGGTCATCTGGATGGTTTCATTTTTGTGCTGAGATGTTTCATCCGTCATCCAACAGACTTCTGCAATCTGAGGAAACACCAAACCAAACTGATTCTCCACCAACAGCTTACTCCAAAGTGGAACAAACCAGTTGTGCTGGTGCTAAGATGGTCTCTGGGGTTCCGTTAATTGGATAACGGATGAAACATCTCAGCAAAAAAAAGAAACCGTCCAGATGACCTGACTGAAGATTGTTGGATTGTATACCTGGATTACTAAGCATGGACTTTGGTGTTTTGAACCAGTTTGACATGACAGTTAATGAGGGACAGGGCGGGCCCTGGAGGAGAGGGCGTGCCTCAGAGGCCATCTTAGCACCAACATAACTGGTTTGTTCCACTTTGGAGTAAGCTGTTGTTCGTTTCCTCAGACTGAAGAAGTCCATCGGATGACGGACGAAAGTCTCAGCCCAAAAAAGAAACCGTCAGATGATCTGATTACATGCTTTACCTTCTTTATACATTATGGTTACTCAACTGTTTAAGCCAGGGGTGTTAAACTCAAGTTACAAACGGGGGCCAAAGTTTTAAACACATTCCAAACCAAGGGGCCAGTTTCAGTCGACACGTCAACTCCAGTCAGATCAATCTTTTCTTAGTTGCAGGTTCCTCAGCAAGAGTTTCATCGTTCTCATTTGACGCTCTCTGTTTTTTTCGCATCAAAATGAAAGATTATGGAAAAATTCAAAGTTGGTCAATTGGCATGAGAGGTCTTTAAAATATTCCACTTTTAAGATAACGGATGAAACGTCTCAGCACAAAAAAGAAACCGTCCAGATGACCTGACTGGACATTGTTGGATCGTATACCTGGATTACTGAGCATGGACTTTGGTGTTTTGAACCAGTTTGACATGACAGTTGACGAGGGAGAGGGCGTGCCTCAAAGGTCATCTTAGCACCAACATAACTGGTTGGTTCCACTTTGGAATAAGCTTTTGGTGGAGAATCAGTTTTGGTTGGTGTTTCCTCAGACTGAAGAAGTCCGTTGGATGACGGACGAAACGGGGGCCACACAAGAGCCATATTTGGCCCAAGGACCTTGAGTTTGACAATTGTGGTTCGAGCTACACAGAACCTTAAATGTTGTTCTTTAAAGTAGCTTGGATAGCAAACCTTTCTCAATGAATCAAATGAATCGCTTTGGTCAAGACCGAGAATCCCTCAGAGATGCAAAGTAAAGCCAGACGCAACATCAAATTTTGTAGCATAAAAGTGGTCCAAGGTTCCGATAACACAAATAAACTTAAGCCATTCCTGAGGGTAGAGGATTATCTGGACTCAGATTTCACACTCGAACAAACTCATTACATCTGAATTCAGTTGAATGTATTATGTGCAAACGTACGTTGGTCAAACAGGCAGATCTTTGTGTGATTATTAAAGCAGCTGTATCTAAACAAGCAGCGGAGGGTCTAAAAGACTCATGCAGTCACACGCAGTCCATCGAAGTGCTACAGCAGGTATCTAATACCACAAACGCACCAAATACACTCCTAACGACAGTCTATTGCTCCGTTTTGCTCCTGCAAACCCGTTTAAACTCATTCTGTACGTCAATACGGCAGCTTCACATTACCAGATGTCATTAGCATGTCTGTGTAACGCTAGCAGCTCTAATGTCTCCGAGTCGGAGCCAGGAATCGAGAGCTGGAGCTGCTTATGCAAACTAGACGACCAAAAAAACTGAATCAATGCAAAAGTTTGAATTTTTTTTCCTCATATTTGATCGTTACATTCATTATATTGATCACAGGACAGTTACAGCGCCGTCTGCTTCAAATGTAAGCAAGCTTTGTACGTCCAAATCACCAAACCTTGCTTATTAGATATAATCCTGTGTAGAATTAACCATTGCATGTCACTATCACAACTTTAAATACTAATAAAACTAATTTGTAAAAACATTTGTCTATAAAAGTCAATAAAAACTGAAGTACAGGACTAAAACTTTTAAGTTGAATACAGACCAAAAATAGTAGCGTGTGGTGTTTTAATTTACGCATACGCATTGCGGTACACCGATGTCCTCGTTGCTGAGGGATTTGAACAGTGAATGTTTGTAGTTTTGAAGATAAGTGTTGTTCTGGACTGGAACTGAACAGGGATTGTAAGTAAACCTAAATGTTTTTGGTGCAAGATATTCAAGTAAGCAGGCGTTGCACTGTGGAGAAGATTTAAATTCATTTTTTCTTGTCCGAGGCAACGCAGATTGATGAAACCTGGAGTGAAGGGGGCAATTTTATCCACCACATGTGCAAAGGTGGAGTCAGGGGGTGGCCAACGGTGGCCTTGCCCACCATAGATTAATCTTCGGCCACCCCAGTAAATTGAGGAAACTATTCATTTTAAGTAACGGTCGCACAGCTAACCAAAAAGCTAGCTTTGCTAACCCATATTCTGCTAACTAAAAATTAGTTTAGCTAACGCTAGACAAGTAAACAAAAATGAGCATTTAAGCTAACGCTAACACGCTAACCAGTCAGACGAGTGTCATTCAGTCTGAGTCGCATGTCTTCGTCTCCTTCCAGTTGAAGCTGCGTCGACCATTCACGACTTGTCACGTGTACACGTAGTCAGCCAATAGCACGCCTAACGGACTCTTCGAGACACGCCCACAACAGACAGGAAATAGCTTGTTTTGTTAGCAAAGTTGACGAAACCTAATTTAGTGGAATTCCGCTGTTTGCAAAGTTGGAAAAAATGCTAATCTGCTAAACAAAAAAATCTGTTACACGTTTAGTGGATTAGTGGAGCTGTGCCTACTACTGCTTTTAAGCAATAAAAAAACTAGAAAGCATAGTTTTATATATACATATATATATATATATGAAGGTGGCCATCTTTGATTTTTGTATGGCAACCCTGTTTTCGATAAGAGCCTTACTTACGCCTAGCTGTAGTCGCACGCCAAAAAGGAAGTTGGTATCTCACTTATTCTTCCAAGTTATCGCGCTTACGACATTCACATAATCCTGAGGCTGCGTAAAGAAGCACATCCAGCGTAAAACAGTGGCCAAATCTTTTATGCGAGTCAAGCTGCCGTGGAAATCCCTGCAGGAAAGAGAAACTGAAAGCTTTGAGCGCGGTGACTTTTAGAAACTAAATGAGCATCGAAGTGTGGAGAACCCACCTCAGCTGGTTTGACTTGAAGCGTCTACAGATTAAATGTGCGGCGGACGTCTGCCTCGTACCTTTTAAAACATGAGCTAGCTCTATGTAGCCATCCTCGATTATAACCCTTTATCTTAACGATTACACATCTCCATTTTCCAAACGTTGTTGAATAGAACAACAACAAATACAGTAAGAGATTTGTTAGTCGTTTTGTGCGTCCCTAAAATAGGTTTGGGGTGCTATGAGGTGTTGCAGTGTTAGTTCCACTTACATGTTCGGGCCAGAAACAAAACAAAAAACATTGAACATCACTCCACCAGACCGGGCCCCAGACCCCCCCAGGGGTTCACACCCCACAGTTTGAAAACTACCGGTTTATGCTAACGTT